TTTTTTTGTAAATCAAAATTTTGAAAGTTAAGTTTTTAAACGCTGAATTTTCAATCAGTCCAGTCTGGTTAGCTTAAAATATTCATTCAACAATAATATAGAGAATGATAATCCATCATCTCCACATGATTTTAAGCTGTACTACGAGGTGTGTTTAAAAAGTAAGGTGAATTTTTATTTTTAGGAAAAAAATGTATTTATTCATCAATATTTATATTGTCCCCTTCAACGTAATCCCCCTCAGATATAATATACTTGTACCAACGTTTTTTCCAAGCCTCGAAGTACTTCTGGTAAGCACTTTCTGGTACAGCCTTGAATTCTTCCAGCGATTTTGTGGTACCTCACATGAACTTTATTGAAAAAGTGCAATCAAGAGTAGATATTACTACAAAGAAAGACGAATTGATCTTGAAATTAACCTCCAAGGTCAGGTGAAAGATCAACAATAAAGGCTAGAAAAAAAATTGATCTTCATACGATCTTGGAATTTTAATAGACCCTACATATAATACGATATTTGAACGTAAAATTTTCCGTTCTTTCTGAATTTGCGGTTAAAAATTAAATATTATATTGGAAAAAACAAAGTTGACTTTGAGATAACCTTGAACATGATCTGCAAGGTCAATATGCCACTCGGCATTGGAAAGCTTTATTTTTTTTAATGAATTTCAAGTATTTTTAACAATTTTTTAAGTTACAAGAAAAGTGGGCAGAGGGGAGGTAACGTTCAGAATGAATGCCCCATATACGAAGTCTGTTTAAAAAGTATCGCGAATTTGGTATGTTTTGTAACGGGGTAAAACCGTTTAATTATTTTAATCGCGCAATTATACTAAAAGGACGCGCGTAATTATGTATGCTCAATACATAAATCGGAGAGCATGTAGAAACGTGCGTCAGTCAACCAGTAAGTCCTCTAATCTAGGAAAAGTGAGTGGAAGCTATATGAAATGAGCGAGTCGAAAAATACTTGTTAATAACACGGACGGAGCCTTTTATTACCATTCAAACACTACGTAAAGTCGGCCCGCGCGTTTGTTTACATTGGCGCTCGCTCATCGACAACACGTTTTGCCGGGACGCTCGCTGCTCTTTGTTATTAGAGTCGTCGCATGCACACTTCGAATGTCGGAAATTAATAATTAATCATGCAACCGCGATCGCGAAATTAAGCTGGCCAGCTTACCTTATTATTGCAGACGATCGAAGGAAACTCAGAGAAATCGCACAGAGCGGAACAGTTTTATTGTTTATTTCGCGGGTCGCGAGTTCGCGCACGTTATGGTTTCGCCCTCGATGGCGAAACCTCACACACACACACACTCTCGTCCTGGCCTCGAACTGATAGCTGCTTGGCACCTTGGCGGCTATAATCACGGATAACTGGCTGTTGCTGCTTTAACGTGTTGATGTTGACGACACGTGGATCGGCGATAGCGATAGCGAAAGCGGGCGGACTCAACGATAGTCGAAGCTTCACTAGTTCGGTTTCAATCGCGCGCGTTCCGTCTGTGCGCGTGCCGAATTCCTTCGTTACGAATTTCGTCCCCCCGGCAGGTGCTGTCCTCACAGGCAACAATTAAGTTATATTATCAGCGCTAACTTGACGTTTACCGTCACAGTTTTCAAAAATTATTTATTTATTCATGAATATCTATTTTATCTCCTTCAAAGTAATCCCCCTTTGATATATGCACTTGTGCCAATGTTTTTTCCAATCCTCAAAGCACTTAAAAAAATCATTTTTTGTGATCTTGTTCAGCTCCTCCTTCCATGCCATTTTTATCTCCTCAAGGTGTAGCGTCGTCCTTTCATGGGCCTCTTCAGATTTGGGAACAGGAAAAAGTTACAAGGGGCTAGATCTGAGGAATACGGTGGCTGCGGCGCCATTACTGTGTTGTTTTTGGCCAAATATTCGCGCACATGCAACGATGTGTGAGCAGGGGCGTTATAATGGTGCAAAAGCCTGTTTTTGTTCTTCCACAAATCCGAACATTTCTGGGGGATTGCTTCGCGCTAATTACGCATAACTTACAGGTAATATTCGTTATTGACCGTACTACCCTAAGGCAAGAACTTATGATCCACTATGCTCCTGTAATCAAAGAAAACTGTGAGCAAAACCTTCACGTTCGACCGAACTTAGCGGTCTTTTTCCGGTTTTGGGTCATGCGGCAGCTTCCGTTGGGATGATTGAGCTTTGGTTTCCACATCATTACCATAAACCCATGATTCATCACTAGTTATGATCTTCTGGAACACATTTAGATCGTTACGGACCGAGTCCAACATCTACTGAGCAATGTTAACGCGATGCTGTTTTTGATCGAAATTGAGTCGAAATCGACTCATGCCCAAATCATTGGTTAAAATAGAATGGCATCAGCCAATCGATACGTTTAGATCCTCAAAAACTAGTCTAACGGTGATTCGATGATTGGCCAATACTATTTTCTTCACTTTATCAATGTTTTCGTCTGTTGACGTGCTCGAGCGCCCGCCACGTTATTCGTCGTTCACATCTTCTCGGCCCTCTGAGAACATATTGAGAGAATGTACCACCGATAAATGTTGCTTTGATCCAAGGTAGCTTCACCATATGCCACAGTCAACATTCGGAACGCGTCCGCGTATTTTATTTTGTTTTTCACACAAAATTTGATTCAGATTCTTTGATCCATTTTTTAGAATAAGTAAAAATCGAAGACGAGCCAAAACACATCCAAGCAAAACAGCTGTCAAAAATTAACTAAACATTTAAAATGGCCGATCTTGTCAGCACAAGTAAGGGACACGAGTACCAACATAACGCTACAAAAAAATCAAAAATCAAATTTACGTAGACCGCGGATCAAAATTCGCGATACTTTTTGAACAGACTTCGTATATGTCTGTAATAATATTTGTATAAGCGTTACATATAACAGATACCATTGGTCGAGTATTCAACACCATAAACAAAATAATTTATACCACTATAATATTTAATTGAATACAGAAATATAATTTTGAACATCATGTCATTAATACCAAAAATATGACACCACTATATCATATTGATGACACCCAAAATTCAATTAAAATTAGAAATATATGTACAGTGCCGCTTACGCACTTTTACCCCCCCACGGGCAAAATCAGTCTAACTTCAAAGTTTTATATCCCTGGTAGAAATTAACGTACAGAGACGCGCGTGGGTGCGTTTGAAAGGTCTTTCGGAGAGATTTCAAATGATATGATTCACGGTTGCCATCGATTGTTTTTTTAAATTTTGCAACAATTATGCAAAATTGAAAATTCTGAAATTTTTTTATTATTTTTGACAATTAGCCAATTTTGGAAAAAAAATCGTACGAAAATTTGAAGTACACCATTTTTTAGCTATTACCAAGCCCTATCTGAATCACTCATCAAAAATTTATTTTCGTCAAATATGACGCGCGCACGGACATTTTTTCCTGGAAGTGACAGTTTTTTTCAACATTTTTTATCTCCATCAAATTGTAACAATCGAAAAAAATTTATAGGAGAAAAAATGTTTGTTTTTTCACGTAGAATACTGCAATAATTTTTTTTTTGGTTTTTCGAAAAATTTTTTTTTTCGGTTTTTATCAATTTTTTTTTCTCACAGTCGGTACGCTAAAAAGATGAGAAACCACAAAAAAAAATTTTTTTCCACCCATTCAATAATACTACATAACAAGTATCGTAAATTACATAAAAAAGAAATCTTTTTTTTTTCGACCTTGAAAAATAATTTAAACCGAAAAAAGAAATTTTTCGAAAAACCAAAAAAAAAATTATTGCAGTATTCTACGTGAAACAACAAACATTTTTTCTCCTATAAATTTTTTTCGATTGTTACAATTTGACGGAGATAAAAAATGTTGAAAAAAACTGTCACTTCCAGGAAAAAATGTCCGTGCGCGCGTCATATTTGACGAAAATAAATTTTTGATGAGTGATTCAGATAGGGCTTGGTAATAGCTAAAAAATGGTGTACTTCAAATTTTCGTACGATTTTTTTTCCAAAATTGGCTAATTGTCAAAAATAATAAAAAAATTTCAGAATTTTCAATTTTGCATAATTGTTGCAAAATTTAAAAAAACAATCGATGGCAACCGTGAATCATATCATTTGAAAGCTCTCCGAAAGACCTTTCAAACGCACCCACGCGCGTCTCTGTACGTTAATTTCTACCAGAGATATAAAACTTTGAAGTTAGACTGATTTTGTCCGTGGGGGGGTAAAAGTGCGTGAGCGGCACTGTAAATTATATGCAAAATTAATTAAATTTAGGTAAATTATATATTTAATAAAGTGATGTATTAAAATTTATTTTAAAAAATCATTTCATTTTTATATTTGATACTCCAACGGACCCTGCATTAGGATTCATCGGATTCAGCGACACATGAAACTTGTGGGTATCCTAATCTTATCAAAAAAATAAAAGATATCCTCAATTTGACCTTCAAATGACCTTGTTGGAGACCTGGTAAGACTGAACGGATATCAAATTTGTATTCAGTGACTCGAAATACTTATGAGTATCTTCATTTCCTCGCTAATCAGCATTAATTAAATAGTAATTCAAGAAATAACTATTGTTTCCCGATCTGACCTTCAAATAACATTATAAAATATTTTTACCTCGAGTGATACACTATATTCCTATATAAAATTGAATGTTGAATTTAATGTTGTCTTAAAAATATTGATAGAATCATAATTGAATAATTCACAATAGAATTTTGAAAATTTATTACGAAATCTCTAGGTTTGCGCTGCTATATTGGAGCCGCCATTTTTAATTCTTCAAAGTCACCACAGTGCAAATGAAAGTAGAGCATAAGGCGAAATTTTGAGCGCATCCATAATTTTTTTGGTGTTCTTCATTTTTGAAGAGACATTATCCGTTTGACGCGGATTGACCCAAATATACGTTAACATACATGGAATATTGAATTCTTAATAGTATTATTTTTCTCAGCAAGTTAATTCTCTGGCAATCACTCCGAATAAAAACATAATCGCAGCAGCTGGTTATCAGCACATCAGAATGTATGATTTAAATTCTAACAGTACTAATCCAATCATCAATTATGAAGGAGTTTCAAAAAATATTAGTGGACTTGGATTTCAAGTAAGTGATAATTACAGATTTGATGTTTTCTTTACATATAAACTTTAAGATAGTGTAAATTTAACTTACAAACTTTGATTTTATTTCAATGAGCGATATAAATAGAACATGTTTCATGTAATAAAACATAGAAAAAAATTTATTTAACCAATAATGTAATTGGTTTTTTATTAAAAATAACAGAAAAGAATTTATATGATGTTGAAAAGTAATTGGATAAAAACTGTTGAGAGATCATTAAATTTAAGTTCCTCGCTGATTTTTCCGAAATAAACTTTGCTTATTTTACTATACTTTCGTTATACTCTCATTTAGCAGCAATTCTTTTCAAGTTCAAATATCGTCAATTATCACCAAATAACAAGTAATTTCACATATTTATTTACACTGCTTGTCAATTGCTTTTGTCTAGCCTTTTGCATAAATGATCCATTGATATAGTGATTGAGTCTTTTCCAATAAGTTAGTCCTGTAGCATAAATTAATCCATAGCGCGGAAACATTTATTGGTATTGTAAATTTGAGTTACATTTAGAAAAGGATGTGAAGACTATGTCGTCAACAACTGTTTGGTCTTTATTTTTTTTGCAATTGTTTTTTGCAATTTTCCTTACCTGGGTCTCATCCAGGGCCAACCCTTCATCCGTCATTCCCAACTTTGAAAATCTTATGCGCAGATTCTACGAACCCCAGCCGTCGTTTTCGCTGTTGTTTGGCACTGACATGGTTACAATGTTACGTCCGAATTTTACGTCTACCGCGGTGTTTGCTCTTGCCGGTTTCATGCGGAGATCATCAGACGGTTGGCCCCCGCAGCACCGTATTTTGCCACCATCCAAATCATTTCGCAATTCAAGTACGTTTGGAACGTTTAGTACATCGTACAATACGGTAGAAGGAGGTAATATAGTCGGCAATTGACTCGTCCTCAACCTAAGTGCGTCGGTGTAGCCGATCATACACATATTTGCGGTCAAGTCTGCAGTAGAATTGTTGAACATCGTCTTCAAAATCCGCGAAGTTATTCCATTCACTGTTGTTCTTGATGAATCATACCGTCTCTCCACATAATTTCTCCTTCATAGAACTTGTAGAAGCGTAGGCACTTCCACAACTTTTCTAGGAAGTGTTCGGTAATGGATTCTCAAAATATTCAGTCCCTAAGCTCGAAACAACCCTGGTTCCTTATTATTAACATTGTGTCCTTTGTTATTTTAATTGCCTCCAAAAGTTGTAATAAATTTCGTTATTTTTTTTCTTTTCATTTTGCTATTTTTCATAACGTTAATTTCAACCTCGCCAGAACAAGGACCTGCCTTTGATTAAATCGACTCGATAAACTGCTGAGCACGGATTCCTAAACTTAATTCTGACAACCAAAAGCTTTCAAATCCAAACAATACATTACAATTTGCCTGACCTACAACACACACTAATCCAACGGTGAGACTTATGTAAACGCTTCAATCACATAAGTGATGTGTTCGAAAAAAAAAGCACACGGAAATAGATGCCTGGTCGCTTCAAATGAATTCGTACCAAAGTGCCCACGGTCATCAATCGGTGAACTCACTTACGCTACGCCCGTAATCCTTGAAACTGGATATTCACACAATGGAGAAATGTATTGTTTACTACTCTATCATTTGGTGAAGAATCCATTATGATATGAGGCGGAATATCAATGGACCATCAAACTAATCCGGTAATTCTTCCACCCCAGGATTGACAGTGATACGTTACATTAACGAAGTTTTATGTTCTTATATGATTCCCATGAGTCGACGAATGGGACATAATTTTATCTTCATGCAGAATAATAGGCACCCTATCTTGAGAGAGTAACTAGTCATCTTGCTAGTAGTTCAGGTCAGATCTCAATCTTATTGAGCATGTATGGGACATGATGGGAAGGAGGCTACGTAACTTAGAGAGAGCTCCTGCAACTCTTCTAGAGCTTCAAATAGTTTTAAATAAAATCTACCATGAAATAACTCAAGATTTTGTAAGAGCATGCATAAATATGCAGAAACAAATAGAAGAGGTTATCCGACGCCGAAATAGCAATTAACATTATTAAATACTTTTCCTTTCAAAGTTTTCATTTCCATATTAAACAATCAGTTTTATGTGACAGACCATATATACAGGGTGAGTCGTTTTAATTTTTGGACCCCAATATCTCAAATTCTATGCATAGTACAGAAAAATAGTTCAGACAAATGTTGCTCAATACCAAGGAGACCATATTTTGGTGACCTTAAATTCGACCTTGAATATGATGGGTCAAGGCCATTCCAAGGTCAATGTTTTTTTTAAATGGGAACCCTTACTTTTTATCTCGGATTCGGATTTTGCGTTAAACTCTACGTTCAAATCATGTAATATGTGTGGGGTCCAAATGACCCCCCACTCCACCCCAAAGTATTTTCAAGATCAACCTTACTTTTTTAATGGAAACCCCTATTTCTCATACCGGGCTTAGAAAACGCAGGAAATTATTCGTCCGGAATAATATTTGAAGATTTATTTGCGTGACCTTCCGAGGGTCATTTCCAGGGCAAAATTTAAAAAAGTTGGATAATGAGTTTTCTGACGAAGCAGTCGCATTAAAAGTAGCTTTCTAAGACATATTGAGAAGTTATTGAGGGGTTATTGAGGTATTATTGAGAGATTATTGAGAAGCGTTATTAAAGGGTTGACTTTCACGTTTGGGGTGCTTGATTAACGTGAATCTCCTTTCCTCTCACGTTTGCAACAATTGATTTCATTAGTCACGGATAAACTATTCAAAGTTTCCTCCACTATTTTCAATATACAATAGTATTCGTCTTTAAAAGTTATCCACAGTTTTAAGCAACATCGCTCGAGGGATAGCTTCACAAGTTATTCGAATTCTGTGCCTTATATCGTCTATGGTCGTGGGCTTTAGAGCATAAACAACATTTTTTAAATATCCCCATAAATAATCAGACGATGTCAGAGCTGGAGAGCAAGCAAGCCATTCAACTGGGCCTTGTCGTCCAATCCATCTGATTTGTAATTTTCATTCAAAAACTGACGCACAATGAGTGAAAAATGCGCTGGAGCACCATCATGTTGAAACCACATTCTTACTCGCGTTGCTAAGTCTTCTAATAGTCTCGATAGGTCCCGTAGCAACTCTTAGTAAGTATGTCTATCAACGTTTACGATAAAAAATAGCGTCCAATCAAATAGTCATTACTACTCCGCACCATACCATTAGACTCCATCGATTGTGATGGTCCAAAGTTCTATACCAGTAGGAATTTTCGTCCGATCAGTAGTGACAGTTATGCCTATTGAGCTGTCCATTGCTGTGAAATATAGCTTCATCTCATAAAAGTACATATCGACAGAAGTATGGATCATCGTCTATAGTTTGCAAAGCCCATTGATGGAAATTAACATGTGTCAAAAGATGATGTGGTCTCAAGGCTTGCCGAAGAGTAATGTGATAAGCGTGAAAGCGATGAACTCTTAAAATTCTTGAGATTGTACGTTGTGGAATTCCTGTTTCTCTTTCAATCTGTCTGGTACTAATATGTGGATCAAGATGAACAGCTGCTAGAACAATCAATACTCGCACGTCATTTCAGACAACTTTCTTATTATTATATCAGTAGGATGTCTTCGGTCTCGGTACCGTTCAGCGTACAGTCTCGATGAAGCGGCATAATTGTTATGACATTCCCCTGAAATCATCATCATATCGACAATTTCAGTAGGCGTATAATTTGCCATCTCTATTGAGTATGCGTCCACAAAATAACTCAAGGACTTGGAACCTTAACTTTATAACGGTGTTCCTGCTCAGCTTCGCTCGAGCGGGACACGCTATATAAAAGTAACCGCGGAAAAGTAGGTGAATGGCTCTCCAGAGCAGATCGGCACTCCTGCACCGAACGTCCTGGGTCCAGCAGCTCAGTTGCCTCCTTCTCGAGTCGAAAACTTGGCCCGCGGAGAGTGTCGTAAGCTTTCGTGTGACAAGGCGCGACAGCCAAAGAGAAGCTAAAGCGCGTAATCGCATGTACGACTAGGAATCGAGGAAAATGATAGACAGCAAAGGGATGAGTTCAATTCATTTATTTAACAAACAAACGGTAGCGTGATTCGCACGCAGTATAAGCGGCAGCGTGGATGGTCTCGCGTCAAATTTCAGTGCAGCCGACGAGTTGCGCACACGCTACGCAGCGAGGACTTGCACGCGCACGCCCTGTTAAGAGCGGTTAGGCACAATGGCGACGGCTAACCGGCGCGCACCGTTCGAACGAGAAAACAACGTCGCTTGCTCGTGTCGGCTCTTTAGCCGGTCGAAATGTCTCGGTAACTTGACTGAGATGGAAACGGCAACCGCACTTGCTCGTTGTAAACCGGACGAAGCGACAGTACGCGTATAACGGAATCCTATTCGTAGGCCGAACGAAAACAAAAAAGAAATAATCAACCATGCGGAAAAGTATCGATGAGGATACACAGTTTAAGCAACGCAGGAGGAGAGAGCCGTAGAGAGAGAAGCCAAGTTAACAAACTGGTACTTACAGTGCTGAAACGGACGAGTCGCTCTATAGTTAATTCGTGAGTAACTCACGGCGCGCTCGCCTATAAAGGATTGGGTAGTCGCGTTATCGCTTCTTGCGTTCACGCTTTTTCTCCCTGCCGCTATCACCGAATGTTCACAAGACTCTTCGGGAACAACGTTGGCGGTTGTCACGTGTGTGGCTACTTAACTTAATTGCTCTCTCCGGTAATTAGCGAGCTTGCGTTGCCGGTTGCTTCTCCGTTGCCGGTCGGAAGCAGACTTACTTTTTCTTTGTTACCGCTCTCTCTCTCTCCTCGAAGGGGGCCGCCTTTCAGCGGGGTCCGCGCCGCGAGTCGATATCGATGATCGATCGATAGTCGCGTCACTTACCCGTTCGCTGACGTCCACGCTGTAATTACTTAAACACGTTTACATGATAATTAATTATTATTATTTG